CCGAAAAAGGCGGCCCCGGGGGGCCAGGCACACGGCGCAAGCCAGGTTCTTCTCTCTTCACAGCTCCTTTATCCAACCCCACGTCAAAATGCTGCCCAGGAGCAGGAAGGGAGGGGGAGCCCAGGCAGGCCCCGGCAGCCCCTGTCACAAAGAGCTCTGTGCTGATTATATACACGTCTCGCTGTCCCGCTGCCAGGGCCCTAGTTCTCGGGGCTCGCGTTCTGCCTGGCCCGGATGAAGGCCATGCCGTGGGTGCGGAAATGGGTCTTGAGGTTGAGCTGACTGTCGAAGCAGCGGCCGCACAATTTGCAGGACAGGTTCCCATCGCCCGGCTGCGGGGCGCCCCTCTCCCGCGCGCGTCACAGCTCACCCGCTCCCTTCTTCTTCTTGTGGGTGATGAAGCGGTGGCGGTTGAGGGAGACCTGGGAGGTGAAGCAGAGCCCGCACTCCCGGCACTGGTGGGAGCTCTCGTCAGTCCGGTGCTGGGGGATGTGCTCCTGGAAGTCGGCGGAGCTGCTGGCCAGGTACCCGCACTTGCGGCACCGGAACGGGGCCTTGCGGTCACTCTTGGAGGTTTTGGAAGGGGGGGTGGTGCTGTCGGGCTCCTCACTGCACGAGTCGCCTTCATCCGAGGACAGCTTCCGCTTCCGACCGGACGCCTGTGGGAACGGGTCACACGAGCTTTAATGGGTGCCTGCTTCGAGCAGCTCCTGCTACAACCCAGCCTGCTCGGGGATGTCCCAAGGGACTCCTACAGGTATTTGCTTGGATGAAGGACAAAGGGGTCTTGGCCAGTTACCCCAGGCAAGAGGCTCCCACAGCAGCCTTGGACTTGCCTGTACCCCTCACACCAGGCGCCTTTGCCCCTTGCAGCCTGGGGCAGGTCCTCAGCAAGCTCAAAGCAAGATGGGATGTTCTGCCCTTCCTCCCCGCAGGCGCTGAGCCAGCCAAGTTCAGCCTCTGCCGTGCTGGCAGGGAGAGGCAGGAGCTAAGCTGTGCCCAGACGGGGCCCGCACCCACCCAGCAGGCACTGGGCCTCACAGTGGGAGGGAGCTGCTGGTCCCAAGCACTGCAGGACGTGTGGAGGCAAGCATAAACCAGGCTCAGGGCTCACAGTGATGCCTTCCACCCTGCCCAAAACCTCCACAAGGCCCCAGACCTCTGCAAACACCCCAAGAGACCACAGGGACCTTGTACCTGCATAGTGCCGGTCCCTATCCGGGCAATAACAACCTCCTGGCTCTTTGTCTGGTCAGTCACCTTGATCCCGTGTCGCACTTGGATGTGTTTCTCCAGGATGAGCCGGCTGCTGAAGGTCCTTTTGCCCTCTGTGCAGTACCTGCAGGGCCAGAGCAGGGAGGCAATGAAGTGATTGCTCTGCAGTGAGGAGCCAAGCCCCAGGCCTGCTCCAGCACGACTGTGCAGCCACCAAGCCCTGGCTCCCCTGGGAAAGCTGGTTGTGGCCTCCTGACCCCCAGCTCTAACCACGAACACACGAGCATTGCCTGAGAGGGTACAGAACCCCAGCGTCCTTCCTCCTCCTCTCCCTCCTGCTTCCCAGACACTTGCTCAACCCCCATCACGCTCCAACCATCTGTAGCTTTATCCTCCTGGTCCAGGGTTCAGCGGTTGCGACACCTCCCCAGCCCAGCTTGAGTGGGGAACACCAAAGTCACCCCTCTTAACCCAGACCCCTTTTCTCAGGCCAAGGCAGGAGGCGGCAGCGCAGGTACCGGCAGGGGTAGACGCGCTTGATCCCTTCGTGATTCACTCGCACGTGTCTCCGGAGGCTGGGAGCGGAGCAGAACGAGCGCTCGCAGAGGTGACACGGGAACTTCTTCACCGACTGCAAGAAACAAAGCAGCAGGTGGGTACAGCCCCGGAGCAGTGTTCCCACCGGAGAAGCCAGATGTGGGAGCTTGGTGCTGCCATTCCTTGCCCATCCCAACGCTGCACGTTTGGATAACAAGTATGTGGGTTTTGCTTTCACCAGGCAGGCAACATCCCTGCTCCCCAAAACTCAACCCTGACTTTGTCCCAGGGTAACCGCCAGACTGTGACAGGACACGTTCCCAGCCCAGCAAGGAACCTGGCATTCCCTGCCCACATTCCCAAGGGCTCAGCAAAGCCGGAGGCTTTCTCCTCACCTTGCCATGGTCCTTCTTCATGTGGGAGACGTACTCGTCACGCTCCGGGAACCAGGAGTGGCAGACGCCGCACGTCCACCCGCTGCCTTTGGACTTGTTGACCGTCTTGCGCTGGAAGCGGCTCCGCTTGGCCTTGCGCAGCTCCGGGGAGCTGGGGGGCTCGTCCTCCTCCGTGGAGGACGACGATGACTCCGAGATCTTGGACACGGGGGTTTCAACAGGCTCCTGCTTCGGAGTGAGCAGGATGGCCGCCTTCTTTGCCAGGTCTTCCTTGGGCTTCTGGGGCTGGTGAGTGTTCTGGAAAGCAGACAAAGGTCTCGGCAGCTGTTTGGGGTTGGGACTTTTTCCCCCCCCTGCCCACAACCAGGCCCCAGCCTGCACACACAGGCTCAAATCAGGCTTTGGGGGCCAAGGGAACCAGACGGCAGGGTCCTGCTGCATCACTGATGCACTTGGAGTCCTGACCCAGCCTCAGGTGCCCCTGGTGAAGGACAGTTCTCAAGTATTAGCTTCAAGGGGTTGTGCATTACCTTGAGGTGCTCCAGCATGGTGCGCTTCTGGGCGAAGAGCAGCGGGCAGTCCGGACACTTGAAGACACTGACCCGCTGGTTAAGCAGGTGCTGGTCGAAGTGGGAGGAGAGCAGGGGCTTGTGGGTGAAAACCGTGTCGCACATTGCACACTTGTAAATCATTCTGTTGGAGGAAAAACCACCACTGCTGGCACAGCCCAGGTTCGGAGCAAGAGAAGCAGGAGGGTTGGGAGCAGCCCTGGGTGCAGCCTGGCCCACACCGAGGGTTGGGAAGGTAAAAAGGAGACAGATGCAGCTCCCCATTCTGGTGCTGAGCTCTTCCCCAGTGTCCCACCCACTAAGGATGCTCCTATTACAACCACAGAATCATTTAGGTTACAAAAGACCTTTATGATCATCATATCCAACCACTAAGCCAGTACTGCCAGTAAACCCATGTCCCTGAGTGCCACATCTACACATCTTTTAAATGCTTCCAGGGATGGGGACTCAACCGCTTCCCTGGGAGGCCTGTTCCAGTGCTCAACAGCCCTTTTGGTGAAGACATTTTTCCTAATAGCCAATCTAAACGTCCCCTGGTGCAACTTGAGGGCAGCTCCTCTCGACCTACGGCTTGTTAGGAGTGATCTGTCGGGACATCAGCTCACGGGGAACACTTACTTGGACTGCTGGTTGCCAAAGCCGGGGTGCTGTGTGTAGACGTGAGCATGGGCGCTGGGGGCTGACTTGAACGCCATGGGGCAGATGGGGCACTTGTGGAACACCTCACAGTGGGAGGTCTGGATGTGGGACTTGATGGAGTTGACCCCCCCGAAGACCACAGCGCAGCTGGGGCACCTGGAGAGAGGAGGAGCCGTGCTGCAGAGCCTGGCACACACCAAGCGCTGACAGCAAAGAGAAACGGGAGCACCAGGGCCAACGCCTGCTCCCTGCCCAACACCAGGACTCGGGATGAGCCCTGCCCCCCGAGCAGGCCACGTGCCCTACCTGTACCCCACTCTGCGGGAGAAGTGCAGACAGGCCTCCTTCAGGTGCGCCTCGAAGTTCGCCAGCAGGAAGTTCCCCCCACACTCGGGGCAGACGTGGGGAGGTCGGTTCTTGTGTATCCGCTGATGGGCGTTGAAGCTGCAGCGATTGGACATGATCATGGGACACGTTGTACAAACCTGGGGGGAGAGGAGCATCGAGAGGTTCAGCCTGGCATTGTACCCACGGGTACAAAAGGGGGTGTTCCTGCACGTGGTTGGGGTAACAACCTGCAGCACCCAAAGCAGCCCCAAGCCCTGGGCTGCCGCAGAGAGAAGTGTCAGGACTCTGCAGGGCACGTTTTAGGAGATGCTCTGCTTGCACCAGCTTCCTGGGCACTTGTTGAGGGTGTTTCACAAGCCTGCTCCAGGCTTTTCATCACAGATGGGTCCCAGATACAAGGGACCCATTCAAGAGTCAGGCAGGGACCAGCCACTCAGCAAGGGAGTTTTACCGGAGGGAGCTGGGGTGTATTCAAACCAGCTGCCAAAACCATTTTGAAACTACTTTCAACTCTGCCCCAGGATACAGCCATGGGGATGTCCACGGGAGAAGCTGGCAAGGACTTGAGGAAATGGGCTTCCAGTAGGAGCTGCCCTGAAAGATGTGATAACCAGAGCAGAGGTGGGGCGAGGAAGGAGCACACAGGCTGTCCCTGTGCTCCCCTCGCTGCTGGTACGAGACCGGGGTCCAGAGCACTGCCAAGAGAGACCCAAAGATGAATTTGGCAGCAAAGCAGTAAGAAGGAACAAGAAACCAGAGAGGTAACAGCAGCTAAAGACAGGCTGAGGGATGGAGGAGGAACAGGAGGGCATGTCAGGAAGGGAAAAAGAATGGAAGGGGGGAGGGG